GAAAGTGAGAAGGCAAGCCGCCAGGTCTAGAACCCGAACCATGGTCAGCCTTGTGGGATTCCGGCACTCTTAACCACCATGCCACCTGCCAGCCTAGTACTTCTATTTTTTAATAGATGAAGCTCAGAGAAATTAAAATGCCATGCCTCTAAGCTAAAAAGATGATGGTGTCAGCATTCAGTCTGGCATAGGTCTGTCAGCTTCCACAGGTTAGGGTGGTGGGGCCATCAGGGCAGTCCCCGAGGCACCTCCAAGAGTCAGAGCTCACTCCATTGTGCCCTTCCCACCACCGGGCTGAAGGGAGCTTTGTTTCCACCATATCCTCTTTTTCGCTCTTCAAGTCCTAGCTGACTTTATGTCCCTGAAACCCAAAACATTTCATAACTGAGTTCTTTCTTCTGGCTTATTTTACACCTATCCTGGAAAGAGCGTAACTTGTTGTGTTTTTTGTTTTTTTTTTTGTTTAGTTTTGCTGTAGGGCACAAGTTCTCACCACAGACAAACAGTGGGGGAGGGAATGAGAAATCACCCCCAGGAGGATGTCCATACCACAATCCCTTCTCCTCCATTCTTCTCTCAGGGTTTTTGTCATGCACACACACATGCCTGGTGTGATTTTCAAGCCGCTGGGTCCTGGACTTGAACCACACAGTCAGCTATGTGTGATCTAGCCATTTTAACATCCACACCACCAGCTGGCCCACTTGTTTAATGTTTTTACAGATGTATGTTTTCACCCCAGTGTCAGCTCACCACTTGGTGCATAGTTGGGCCTCAGTTAGCGCGTGTTGAGTGAATGAATATTACCTCCCCATTTTGCTTCTTCATATGTATATATCTCCCACCAATCTAAAGATGAAGAAGGTCCTCCCAAACCTGATGTTGTCAGCATCATTCATTTGGAAGCATTTTTTGTCCTCTTCTGTCCTCTTTGTATCAATGTTAAAAAGTTAACTTGAATCTTCCTTGTCTTTTTAAAGTAAATCATTTACAAGCTCTGCTTCTTTATTTAATTTTCACATATTTCAGATGGATTGGAACACCTTTAGGTCAGGACTCCTTGGCACAGATCCAGAGTCCTACTGAGTAGTCCCAACCAGTCATGAGCAGAGGCAGTATGCAGAGTGGTTATGGCCATCCACTCCCGACTGGACTGCCCAGGTCAGAATACCAATTCTACCACTTGTGTGTGACTTTGAGCAAAGTATAGGGCTGCTCTGAGCCTCAGTTTCCTCATCTGAAAAATAAGGATAATAATAGCACCTGCCTTAAAGGTTTGTTACAAAGACTTAAATATACATGACCTGAGACCAGCAGATGGCATAATAGTTACGTTGCTGGACTCCCATGTAGTTGACTACAGTTTCAGGCAGCTTAAACCTCATGCCAGGCGCATATATGTACATGCCCAAAATCCTGAGAGGAATGTGGAGGAGAAGGGATTGTGTCGTGGCTATTCCTCCCACTTATTTCTCACTTTCTGTCTCTCTCTGTCTCTCTGGCAAGTGCATGTGCCTTATAGCAAAAATATCTCATAAAAAGAAAAAAGGTATATGTGTGTGTGTGTGTGTATGACTTAATATGCAAAAAGCACTTAGAATGCACCTGGTACATTGAAAAGAAAAACTCTACACATGCTATCTGTTATTAATAATTTTATCAAACTTTACCACCAAGATTTCTAGCTCCCAACACATCAGAAGTCACTTTACAAGGAGAGAGAAGCACACTTGTAGAGTCAGGCACCAATAAGAAGAGACAACACAGATTAACAGTTAGGGGGAGACTGAAAGCTGTGAAAATCAGCACGGAGCCCCAAAGTGTGGCAGGCTGGGCCATAGATGGCCACAGGTGTGGGGCAAACGGCTCCATGTGTTGCCGAAGTCATTGTCTTTTCCCGCAAAGCTCAGTAATTTTTCATAATGATGCTGCTGCATCACTGAGAAAAGATTATAGGATGCTACAGGTGTTCTGTTCCAAAGTATTCTGTCTTGAAAAGATGCTGATCACAATGATTTAAACAGCAGAGGGAAGCTGTGCTCAGTTACTTTTGGGCTGGCAGCCGTGTGGCCGTTCACAATGGCAGGTCGGCAATGTCAGCGTGCCTAGAGCAGAAGATGTGTCCCACGGTGCTAGGAAACGAGGTGAGAGAGTTAGGAGGAAGTCAAATCATGGGAGCTTTGGCTGTGTTTTGGACGGGGTAAGCTGGAGGAGCCGGAAAAAGCTTCCGGAGCAGGAGAATGACATCACAGACTCACAGGGGATCACGAAGTCCAGTAAGGCTGAGAAACATGCCGTGGACCCCTCGATGTGAGTGACAGACCTTCCTAGCTCCAGTCTCACCACCTCCTCTGCCCGCCCCCTCGTGAGCAAGAAAGACCAGACACCTAATCTTGGATTCCCCAGGCTAGGGCTTTGCACCCTCCCTTTCCTTGGAATGCTCCCTCCCTGCTGCTTCCTCTCCCACCCTGCTTGACCTCTTAGGGTCTGAGCAGACACCATCTAAGGGAGGAGAGTTGGCAGCTCTTGGGGCAGATGAGTCAACCACCTAGGCGTGGCCTCCTCTCAGCCCTCCTCTGGGAGGTCTGACTTACCTCAGCTGCGGAGAGAGTGCTCCCTCTCTTGCCATGGGCTTCCCTTTCCTCTGTGCCTGTGGCCCTGCTTGTCCACTCACCAACCACAGGCCCTCTCCCAATACCTTCTCCCATCCTCCCCAATCTGAGCGTCCTGAGCCAATGGGCCTTTCTCAAAGCCTGGAACCCACCCACTCTGGGATTCTGATTCCTTTCTCTGCTCTTGTGAAACTCCAGTTCTGTGGGCAGATGCCCTGGCAGCACCAGCACAGAGCAAGTAGCTACAGGCCGCGGGCCCCAGTGCCCACTCCTGCCGTCAGCACTGTGCAATCCCTGGCCAGGAGGTCTGTTCCCTCTCCCAGCCCTGCCCTCTGGGGCAGGTGCTCCACACAGAAGGCAGGCGCCGCCCCAGAAGCCCCTGCACAAAACTACAGGCAGTGTAGGGTCTCCCCATTCTCAGACACTCTGACTAGCAACTACAGAGAATGTCCTGGTTTAGAGCTGTGGAGCATCAAACTTCAGAGACGTCAGGAGGACTTGAAGACTTCCTTGGGCAGAAACTTCAAGACTGTACAAGCTGGAAGAGAGATTGTTTTGCAAAGAACCAAAGAGGAAAAAATCTTTCTACATGCATTAAAGTAGACCAGATGGGGACAAACAGATGGAGTAATGGCTATGTCGCTGTACTCCCACCTAGTCGAATGTGGTTCAAGTCCCAGACCCGGTGGCTTAAACTCTTGCTGGGCACATGTGCGTGCATGCCCAAGATCCTGAGAGGAGAATGGAGAGGGGATTGTTGCATGGCCATCCCTCTAGGGGGTGATTTCCCACTTTCTTTCTGTCTCTGTCTTTTCAGCAAGCCATGTGCCCTATAGCAAAAACCTGTCTTTAAAAAAAAAAAAAAAAAAAAGAGGAAATTTGGACACATGAATGGCCATGTGGAGAGGTTTTCCTCAGCATCTCCTGGCTTCTAACACTGAGTGTCCCCAGGTTACCCTGTCACCTTCTCTTGACTGTCATGTCTCGTTCAGGATCATAGTATGTGGAGGGCAGAGAACTGACACTTCATGAGCGTATGCTCTGTGTCAGGTTAGGGGAAGCATAGGACTATAGGGCAAGTCCTTTGCCCTTAAGTGACCCTCAGTCCTAGTGAAAGAGACCTTGAACTTCTGAGGCTCCCACTAGAGGCGTTTATTGAAATCTGTATTAACTGACTCTTACAGAGCAGAAGACAATTGGGTGCATCTTGCTCTCAAAACAGCTGATCCTGGGACCAGCAGTTAGCGTAACGGCTATATCCCTAGATTCCCATGTAGTTGACCGCGGTTCAAGTCCCAGACCCGGTGGCTTAAACTCACACTGGGCGCGTGTGCGTGCATGCCCAGATCCCAAGAGGAGAATGGAGGAGAAGGGATTGCAGCATGGCCATCCCCCCTGGGGGGTTATTTCTCGCTTTCTGTTTCTCTGTCTTTCTGGCAAACATATGCGCCCTATAGCAAAAACCTCTCCAAAAACAAATAAACAAAAAACAGCTGATCCTTTGAAGTAGGTATTATTGCTTCCCCACTCTCTCTCTCACACACACACACACACACACACACACACACACACACGTTCATACACACTCACACACATACTCATGCTTTATGGACAAAAGAACAAGAAAGGGACCTGAGAAGAGATGATGTGGCCCAAACCTTTCATTTAACAGAGTAACTAGAGAACCAAAGCCCAGGGAGTTGAATTATTTTGCCTAAGGTCCCACCGCTTGTTCTTGAGAACCTATACTCCCTAGTGCCCAAACTATCTTGTCTCTCAAATCCTCTTTTTCTTTCTCTCATGCACCTGCCTTTTCACCACAGAAAACCCGGTTTTCTTCCCTATAGTGGTATAATGGCGTTGGAGTGCCCCATGGCAAGAGGGCCCCCCAGGACCCCCCAGTGTGACAGGGCAGCACCTCCCATCTCGGGCCTTTAACAACTGGAGGAGGTTTCTGGAGGAGCTGTGGCAGGCCTTCCTGACTCCCCCTTCCTGCCCACAGTCATCCTGACGGATGAGGAGGTGCAGCGGAAACGGGAGATGATCCTGAAGCGGAAGGAGGAGGAGGCCTTGAAGGACAGCCTGCGGCCCAAGCTGTCCGAGGAGCAGCAGCGGATCATTGCCATCCTGCTGGATGCCCACCACAAGACCTATGACCCCACCTATGCTGACTTCACCCAGTTCCGGGTAGGTCTACCTGCTGGCCAGGAAGTTGAGACAAGCTAGTGGGGAACCCGAGTGTACCCACAGCATGAGGAGGGGTTCAGGGGTGAGGGGCATCCTGGCACAATGGGGAAAGGATGGAGGCTGCTCTGCTTCTCTGGCACTGGGAGGCCTCCCCCTCCTATAGGCCCTTCTTGATGCCATTCTATCAGAGATCAGGAACCATGGAGGGAGATGTCCCCCAAATGTGAGTCTCTCACACCCCATCTTTCCTTTCCAGGCACCTGTTCGTGGGGGCGAGAGTGAAGAGAGCCACCCCTCAAGGCCCAACTCGAGATACACATCCAGCTACTCCGGAGACTCCTCCTCCTCCTGCTCGGATCACTACACCACCTCTCCGGGTGAGCAGGACTTCACCACCGGCCCAGGGCTGCCCAAGGGAGGAGGTGAAGGCTCCTAATGTGAACAGCACGTACACACTGCACGCAACAGAGAGTTCTCAAAACAGCCCCCCTCTTCCAGAAAAGAGGCATCTTGCCCAAGGGCCAAAACCTGTCTTTAAAAAAAAAAAAAAAAAAAAGAGGAAATTTGGACACATGAATGGCCATGTGGAGAGGTTTTCCTCAGCATCTCCTGGCTTCTAACACTGAGTGTCCCCAGGTTACCCTGTCACCTTCTCTTGACTGTCATGTCTCGTTCAGGATCATAGTATGTGGAGGGCAGAGAACTGACACTTCATGAGCGTATGCTCTGTGTCAGGTTAGGGGAAGCCTAGGCCTATAGGGGAAGTCCTTTGCCCTTTCTGAGGCTCCCACTAGAGGCGTTTATTGAAATCTGTATTAACTGACTCTTACAGAGCAGAAGACAATTGGGTGCATCTTGCTCTCAAAACAGCTGATCCTGGGACCAGCAGTTAGCGTAACGGCTATATCCCTAGATTCCCATGTAGTTGACCGCGGTTCAAGTCCCAGACCCGGTGGCTTAAACTCACACCGGGCACGTGTGCGTGCATGCCCAGATCCCAAGAGGAGAATGGAGGAGAAGGGATTGCAGCATGGCCATCCCCCCTGGGGGGTTATTTCTCGCTTTCTGTTTCTCTGTCTTCCTGGCAAACATATGCGCCCTATAGCAAAAACCTCTCCAAAAACAAATAAACAAAAAACAGCTGATCCTTTGAAGTAGGTATTATTGCTTCCCCACTCTCTCTCACACACACACACACACACACACACACACACGTTCATACACACTCACACACATACTCATGCTTTATGGACAAAAGAACAAGAAAGGGACCTGAGAAGAGATGATGTGGCCCAAACCTTTCATTTAACAGAGTAACTAGAGAACCAAAGCCCAGGGAGTTGAATTATTTTGCCTAAGGTCCCACCGCTTGTTCTTGAGAACCTATACTCCCTAGTGCCCAAACTATCTTGTCTCTCAAATCCTCTTTTTCTTTCTCTCATGCACCTGCCTTTTCACCACAGAAAACCCGGTTTTCTTCCCTATAGTGGTATAATGGCGTTGGAGTGCCCCATGGCAAGAGGGCCCCCCAGGACCCCCCAGTGTGACAGGGCAGCACCTCCCATCTCGGGCCTTTAACAACTGGAGGAGGTTTCTGGAGGAGCTGTGGCAGGCCTTCCTGACTCCCCCTTCCTGCCCACAGTCATCCTGACGGATGAGGAGGTGCAGCGGAAACGGGAGATGATCCTGAAGCGGAAGGAGGAGGAGGCCTTGAAGGACAGCCTGCGGCCCAAGCTGTCCGAGGAGCAGCAGCGGATCATTGCCATCCTGCTGGATGCCCACCACAAGACCTATGACCCCACCTATGCTGACTTCACCCAGTTCCGGGTAGGTCTACCTGCTGGCCAGGAAGTTGAGACAAGCTAGTGGGGAACCCGAGTGTACCCACAGCATGAGGAGGGGTTCAGGGGTGAGGGGCATCCTGGCACAATGGGGAAAGGATGGAGGCTGCTCTGCTTCTCTGGCACTGGGAGGCCTCCCCCTCCTATAGGCCCTTCTTGATGCCATTCTATCAGAGATCAGGAACCATGGAGGGAGATGTCCCCCAAATGTGAGTCTCTCACACCCCATCTTTCCTTTCCAGGCACCTGTTCGTGGGGGCGAGAGTGAAGAGAGCCACCCCTCAAGGCCCAACTCGAGATACACATCCAGCTACTCCGGAGACTCCTCCTCCTCCTGCTCGGATCACTACACCACCTCTCCGGGTGAGCAGGACTTCACCACCGGCCCAGGGCTGCCCAAGGGAGGAGGTGAAGGCTCCTAATGTGAACAGCACGTACACACTGCACGCAACAGAGAGTTCTCAAAACAGCCCCCCTCTTCCAGAAAAGAGGCATCTTGCCCAAGGGCCCGTGCTGGGGAAGAGGCCAAGCGGGGGTCCCAGTTCTGCGGGGTGGGCCTTCTGTGTTCTTTCCTGTGAAATCAGGCGTCTGCATGTCTTCCTCTTGAGGGTCACTGGATTCTTTTAAGTGGCATTTTGATTTTGGGCTCTTCAGAAGGTAAAAATGGGAGTGGAAAGGAGAAAGTGTGAGTCCTCTTGCAGCCGATTTTCACCTAGGAGACCACTAAGGCTGTGGAGGACACGTCACCTCCAGCTCACCCAAGAGTCTAGGAGGTAGTGCGCTTTTCTTCTGGCTCTTACTCTTCATTATCCTGCCTATCCTCTCCCTGTTCTAGTCCTTCTTCCCACTTCTCGATCAGCTCTGGTGTCTTCTTGGTTACCCGCAGAGGGCAGGAATGAAAAAGCCCCTTCCCTCTGGGCAACTAGAACCCTCAGATACAGTTCTTCCAGACTCAGTGACAGGGCTGTGTCCAGATTCAGAATAGGTGGAAGGAACCCCAGTGCCAACTGGACAGCCAGTCATGTGTTCACACACCCAAAGTGACAGGAAGGAGGTGACCAGGGGCTAAGGAGGAGCACTTGCCATGCACACACTGACTGGCCTTTCCAGCTCCTCCTACTCTTCTTCCTGCTCTTTTCACTTGATGGTATATTCACTGTCAATCTGCACAAGCTACACAGCACTCATACTTTAGTGATTGATAGTAGTTCCACATCATTTAGGAGTTTTGATACTTTCTCATAGGCTAATTGATTCAAGGCATTTACCCCAACAATGGCATCTTCAGTATAGCATATATTTAGTTAAAAATTCGAACAAGTTGGGGCCAGTGGCATAGTGGGTAAGACACAGGACTTCCACCTGGCCAACTGAGGTTCAAGTTCCGGACCCAGTGGCTTTATTTTTTTACTTTTTTATTTTTTGGAGAGGTTTTCGCTATATGGCACGTGTGCTCGCCAGACAGACAGAGAGAGACATAGAGACAGAAAGCGAGAAATCACCCCCCAGGGGGGATGGTCACGCCGCAATCCCTTCTCCTCCATTCTCCTCTCAGGATCTTGGGCACGCACGCACACGTGCCCTGCGTGAGTTTTAAGCCACCGGGTCCAGGACACAAACTGCGGTCGACTACATGGGAGTCCAGCGACATAGCCATTACGCTAACTGCTGGTTCCCTGGACCCAGCGGCTTTAAACTCATGCTGAATGCATGTGCATGTGTGTCCAGAATCCCAGAAGGAGGGTAGAGAAGAAATTGCAATGTGGCCATCCCCCCAGGGAATGATTTCCCACTGTGTCTCTCTCCAGCAAGAGCATGCACCCTATAGCAAAATTTTATCAAAAAATAAAATTCAAACAAGTTAACATTTTTAATTAAAAAAATTGATCATGCAAAGGCCAACCACATAGAGCAGTGGTTACAGGAACCAGATCCCACGTGGCCAACAGTGATTCAAATTTCAGCTCTTGTGACTTGAAAAACACGCTGGGTAGGACCAGCAGTTAGTGTAATGGCTATGTTGCTGGACTCCCATGTAGTAAGCATCCCGGACCCGGTGGCTTAAAACTCACGCCGGGTGTGTGTGCATGCGTGCCCAAGATCCCGAGAGGAGAATTGAGGAGAGGGGACTGAGGCGTGGCCGTCCCCCTTGCGGGGTGATTTCTCGCTTTCTGTCTCTCTGTCTCTCTCTCTCTTTCTGGAGAGTGCATGCACCCTGTAGCAAAAAACTCTCCAAAAAAAAGAAAAAGAAAAACACGCTAGTCATGTATGTGTGCATACCCCAAATCCTGAGAGAACAGAGAAATTAAGGAGAAAGGATTGTGGCATGACCAAGGCCCATTGAGTGCTTTCTCTGTTTTACTCTCTGGTGAGTACACATGTTCTCTGGCAATTAAAAAAAAAAAAGAAAGAAAGAAAGGAAAGAAAAAAGAAAAAAATATTATACAAAAGTAGTACATGTTCATTTTAGAGATTTAGAAAATACAAGCTAAATTTTACACACACGCACTCTTTAATCTTATCTACCCCAAAATAATTACCATTAACACTGTACTGTGTCTCTTTCCTGCCTTTTTTTTTTCCTTTAAATTGTTTTCCTGGAGGTCAAGTGCATTCACCAGAGAGAGAAGAGACACACAGAGAGAGGGGGAGAAGAAACCCCCTCCCCATGAGGAATGGTGATGCTGCTATCCATTTCTCCCTTCTAACTTGATTTTGGGCACACACACACACACACACACACACTCAGTGTGTTTCTCAAGCCACTGGGTCTAGAACTCAAACCGCGTAGTCAGTCATATGGAATTCCGCTGCGTTAACTCCTGGGTCATAGAGTGGCCTACATTTTTTTATTTGTCAGTGTCTCTCTCACTATGTGTATGTGTTATATTCCATTTCTCCCTTCTAACTTGATTTTGGGCACACACACACACACACACACACACTCAGTGTGTTTCTCAAGCCACTGGGTCTAGAACTCAAACCGCGTAGTCAGTCATATGGAATTCCGCTGCGTTAACTCCTGGGTCATAGAGTGGCCTACATTTTTTTATTTGTCAGTGTCTCTCTCACTATGTGTATGTGTTATATTCAGAAATGGGGGGCTGGCAGGTGATATGGTGGTTAAAGGCACTGGACTTCCACATGACTGACCATGGGTCAAGTCCTGGACCTGGTGGCTTGCTTTCTCACTTTCCCTCTCTCTCTCCTCTCTCTCTCTCTCTTACTCTGTCCCTCTCTAGTGATATATATATATATATATATATATATGTATTCAGAAATGGAATTGTACTATCCAGACTAGAGATTTGCTTTTTTTCTCTTAATAGTATGTTGTAACATATTTCAATATCATCTAGTATACATCTAGAATATAATTTTTATTTTTCTTTAGTTTTTTTCCATAGCATGTGTGTGCTTGCTGGAGAGAAACAGAGAGAGAGAGAAAATGAGAAATCATCGCCCCAGGGGTATGGGCATGCCGCAATACATTATCCTCCATTTTCCTCTTAGGATTCTGGGCATGCACACACGTGTGCTCAGCATGATTTTCAAGGCACGAGGTCTAGGACTTCAGCCATGTGGGAAACTAGTGCCTTAACCACCATGTCACCTGCTAGCCCTAGAATATAACTGTGAAAGGTGTGTAACATTCCGAGTACAACAACATACATAAAGCCTCTACCATTTTGATATCTAAATGGTTTCTCAGCTTTTCAGTACAATAACAGTATGCTTGTGGCTAAATATTTACACTTGTTCCAAGTCGTTTCCTTAAAATGATTTCATGGAAGTGAGATTACCTGCCAAAGAGTGCACAAAATCGTAGGCTTTCGACCCCCTACTGTCAAATATCTTTATAGATAACCTGCACAAATGTACTACTGCTTTGGCATCCCAGCACTGCACAAGGATTACCTGTTTCTCTTCATCTTTACAAATATTGGTATCAACATTGGAACATTTGTTTCTAATTTGTAGGTAAAGAGTGTAGATGATCTACTTTGCAGTTCTTTGACCGTGAGTGAGGTTGGACATTTTTTCCCATGGATTGACTGGTCCCAAATTCATTTTCCTTCTAGATCGTTAGGAACAGCACCTTGTCTGCAAAGCTCTAGGCTTGAGGGAGTCTTGCTTTCCTGAGCATATCTGGCACTTTCCTTTTACCACCTCACACTGCTGACAGAAGAGTCCCAGAAGGATGTCTGGGGCTGGAGAGTGACCTTTGGTGGGCAGCCATCGCTGTGGGATTCCCAGCTAGTCCTGCTGCCAGGGTGCATGAGGTCCTCTCAGGGGCGGGCAAGGGGGTACCGGCCTGAGTATGTGTGTCTTAAATAGTTGCTTCTCTTTTTTCATCTTTCCTAGACATGATGGAGCCGTCCAGCTTCTCCACCCTAGACCTGAGGGAAGAAGACTCAGATGACCCTTCTGTAACCCTGGACCTCTCCCAGCTCTCCATGCTGCCCCACCTGGCTGACCTGGTCAGTTACAGCATCCAAAAGGTCATTGGCTTTGCCAAGATGATCCCAGGATTCAGGTGAGAAGATTCTACAGTATTCAGGGAAAG